TGCACTCCAGGGAAGGAAGCATTGCTCTCTAACAAAGATGAAGGGAATATCAATGGGGCTAATCTCTTCAAAGTGCTCAGCGCTCAAAGCAATTGCCTGCAGTAGTACACAGTCCCCACCCTCATTAGCTCAACAAAGGGAACACAGCCAGAGACAAAATACTATCCTGCAACTAGGGCAAAAACGTAAAATAAGGGGGTTTCAAGCCACTCCCCTTTCCTTTCCAAAGGACAAATATTTCATACATTTTGAATTATGTGTATACTGAAAATAAATTAATATATTTTAAGAATCCCTTCTTTTCTTTTCTTTCTAGCATATTTAAATATTGTGGAGTTTGCTCATATTGAAAAATAGTCACGACACAACAGAAATACTGTGTGGCACAACTCTTCTCCTGATCAACAAAAGGGAAAAATTCATTGCCAACTTTTTCCCTTTTGAAAAACTGCAACACTCAGAAACAAGGAGAGCGATAGTTTCATACCCCCATGAAACAAGGAGACAAAATGATCTGTCAATCAGCTTGTATTTGTGTAAGTTCCAATCTACCCACTGCCTCCAAATTAGAGAATTTTATGGTAAGGAAAACAAATGTTGAGAATGAGAGAAATGAAATGCAGCAGCACTGAGGGGAGAAGTGAGAATTATGAGACAAGGAATTACTGTTGAATTATGTAGTCTTCCAGCACATCCTCTTACTCCCATGCTGACCTTAGGAATAATTAAGGATGGTCAACAGATGTTGTAAGCACTCCTCAGAGAAAGAGGGCTGACACGGACGTGTTGCCAGTCTGACTTCCAAGACTAAGCAGTATGATCAGGACTAGAAAATAGGTCATGGGTTGTGTAAACCAACTCAGACCACACAGTTATCTCTCCAGGGAGTCCACTAATGGATTCATCAGTTCAAACATCCAGGCTGGGCAGGCTACCTAGGGACAAAACATCAATATTGGTGCATTGCCTGAGAGCACACAGTTGGGGCAAGAGCATTTGCTTATTGCAAAGCTCTGCCAAAGCAGGGATTTCAGCTTGAAGGACAAAGCACAAAACCTTTCTACTAGTGTGGCTCAGGTGAACCACCCATCCACCATTCCCTCTATCTGAGATACAATTTTTGAAAATATTCTGCTCGTATAAAACCAGCTTAGTCAACAAATGGTGGACCTGAAATTTTGTTTCCCACAGATCAGTTTAAAGTAGGGACGCGCATTCAGACATGGACCAAACACTTCACAGACTTTAAAAGTGTCTTTCATTCTCTCTGTAATCCCTGTCTGATTGTTGATTGATGGTTCCTTTGTTATGAAAAGTTTTATAAAGGGATACTCAAGTTTGGAGTAACGAGAAAAAGAGAAAGAGAGAGATGGACAAGACAAAGGAGAAATGGAGACCCACCACTGCTTGCAACTTGCCAGTGTAAATTAAAAGGCCTGAGTGGAGTTTAGCCCTATCCCATTTTGGAAGAAGCAAAAAAGTGTTTTTCATGACTGCTAATTGGCCCGGTTTCTGCAGAAGCATCCCCTGCGCTGGCCTCGCAGAAGAGGCACGCGTGAACAGTGCTCAGACTCGGAGCATTGACACAGCACTTGGAGACAAGCTGAAGCCAAGAAAATGAAGACAAACCAAAAATGCTGATCAGCAAATAAGGAATGGAGAACTAAGAGATGTGGGTGGCTGCATTAGTGCTCATCAAGCAAAACTTGTAAGAATGTGGATCAATTATATTTAAAAGAAACAGAACATATGAATCCTTAGCTTGTCTAGAAAAGGGTGTGTAAGGAAGCTTTGAAAACATACAGATCTTGCAGTGCTGAACCCATAGCGAAGAAAAAGGTTCTGATGGGACAGACATTAGACAATTCATGATGGTAGAAAGGAGAGCAACAGGTGATGTAGAAGACTAGCTTCTGCTTTATGAATAGACTTGAAAAAAAACTGAATGAGAAGGAAATCAGGCAGCAAAATAAAGAAGAACTAGTCTCAGAAGTAATGAGCAAATGTTTCAAAGGAATTGGAGAGATGTGTTCTAAAAACATGTTGCCCTGTTAGGTGGAGCTATCACACTGTAGCAAGTCCAAACTGATTAATAACCAGAATTGGGAGTTGTCTGAGCTCTGAGTAAAAAAGCAAATGCCAGGACAAATCCAAAGAATTATACTCATATCGATTTCAATCTATCTATATATCAAGATCTCTTTGCATATTGGGCACCAATTTACAGTTTACTACATTCATGCATGAGTGCCCAATTGATGCATGCACAAGCACCCAATTAGTTCACACATGAGCACCCAGTTATTTTACGCGTGAATGCTCCATCAGTTCATGCATGTATGCCCAATCGGTTTATGCATTGACACTCAATTAATTCACAGATAAGCCTCCAATTAATTTACATGAGTGCCCCATCAGTCCATGCATAGATATACACCCCCATTGGGGCAGGGACACCTTCATACCTGTGAAGCAGCAACAGCCTGGAGCAGTGGAGGAAGAGCAGTAAGAGGCACAGAGAAGCAGCAGATAGAAGCCATTACACACAGCCCCAACCTCATTGCCACATTGCCATCACCCATTGCCACACCAAGGGAATTGGGGTGATGGAGCACAGCCCACAGCAAAAACAAGGCAAGCAGAAACTAGGAAGTGGGGAGATGGGATGTTTGTATTAAACTGAGATGGGGAAAGGAAAAGCATTTACGTAAGTGCCTGCCTATTTCTTCATGTTTTCTTACCCAGAATCAGTGTTCAGAAGTTTGCGTTAATTGGCAATAACTTAAATTAAGGAAAAATTTCCCAAGCTGAGACTGTATTGCCTGCAACAGCATATACTTAGTTAGAATTGAGGTAGGGACTCAGGCATTGAACCACAAGAGGAAAAGCACCCTAAGGAATCAATTTATGCTATCAAGTAATCTGCCTTGGAGATTCAAAAACACAGAGCAATAAAGTGTTCTAATGAAAAAAAGCTTTTTAGTCAGAAATGGAGGTCATAGGGAAAAACACACATTGGTGTCACCACATAAATGCACTATATGGACAAAATCAGATGCCGCTAAAAAGATTACTGTAGTAAATTCTGCACTAGAGGGTTTTTCTCCCATCAGGCATGACTAACTGCAAGCAAGAGGGAGACGAATAAAAAGAGCAAGCTTTGGAAACTGCGAAAAAAGTGAGATAAAGAGCCAAGATCTTGTCCTGTTCTGGTTCTCTTGATACTTGGACTCAGTCCCCTCCTGAGATCCAAGAGGGGCAGTTATGTCCCCTGCTCTCCCCACATCCAGCTGCCGACTGCAAAATCCACTCTACGGCTTCCCAGCAAAGGAGAGTTTCTTCAATCCCAGAAAAATCCCTCACCCTGCCAAGATGAAGCTTTATCTACTCAGTGCTACTTAAGCGGTATTAATTAACTAAAAATGTGAAGGAAAGAAGAAGACAGACACCTGGCACCTCAATACCAGCTTGTCTTTGCAGCCAATATACGAACTGAAATTGAAGAAATCAAAGAGAAAATTGAGTGGACACCTCACTGCAAGAGCAAAACTCTAAATAAATGAGACAGCCATATAATAAATCAATATTAATGTTTCCTTTAAGAAATAGAACATATACTCAACTAGGCACATACGAATTTAAAACTACAATTTATACTTCTGAAATTTTCCCCTCAATTTACAAGGACTATTTCTGCCAGTTCTGTTCTGAGTACAGAAATTCTTGCCAGATAAGGAATCTGAAAACTGTAATTCTGGAACTTTACCTGAAGACTCGATATCAGCAAAAATTCTAACAATCTGAGGTTTAATCTCACTGTCTTCATCCCTCATGAGGCCTGTGTGTGTCGCCTGTGGCTTTAATATTATCAGTAATAGCCCAAATAATGTCAAGTGCAAATACTGAAAATGCTTCAGCAATGGCATCTCAGCAAATCCCACCAATAATTCTGTATTCAGTAAGTGATGAGTAATACACAGAAACAAATGCTTTAGACCACTATTTAACACCAAAACCAACACTAGACTGAACAACAAACAATTGTCACCCATTGGACTAATGGCGGTCTCATGGTAACGGTCCTGTGTAATGTCATGTGATGTGTAATTCAGCAAATTAAGCTAGCTTTTAGATAGCAACACTGAGCAGCTACCCTGACCCCACCATGGTTGACAGTGACAACCATTTGTTCAACTGTCACTTCCTAAAACAATGTGCTTCCTGCACCCCCAGAATTCCTGTCTCCTAAATAAATCACTTCTACCATGAGGTTATCTTGATTCTGACATTTCTCAACTTTCACATTTATTTACAACCTTTGCATTCTCTTAATATACTCTCCCTGTAAATAAAATAGGTACATACTGCCCTTTGAGATGTTCGGAGGCGTTTTAAGGCTATTTATTTGTGCTGTGGCAGAAGAATCACATACCCTTCACATCTCTCCAACGCTGAGAGTGTTGCCCAGCTTGGACAGAAGCAGGCTAAATGATAACACCTCAGCGTATCTCCAGATTTCAAAATATAGCAGTGTATTTTTCCAAATATTGTTTGCTTTCCCTTAGCCTTATAGTAACTGCTATTGATTTTTGACTGTTGCTGGTGTACTAGGGTTTTTCTGGTTTGTTTGTTTTAATACATTATGATAGTAAATAAATATGTTGTAGCATATAAACTAGAATCCTCTATAGCTTCTCTAACATATGCAACACTGTGTTGTGATTAATTGTATTAAGTACATTTTCTAAACAGCAACTGGAAACACAGAAGTCGACGAGAATGTTTAAGGGATTCATGAATGCTACACAAGAATATAAGCACATGGAGATGCCGGTTAACTTGCATATGAAAAAATAAAAGTGAATTGAGTTAAAAAAATCACATTGTGGTCCATCTTGCACAGTAACCACAATTGGTCCCCTCTCTGACACCATTCACAGCATGCAGAATTCAAAGGACATGTTCCTTTGTTCTTCTGAGATTAAGCATAATATTGAAGATCATTGCTCCCAGTGGGCTGAATCTCTGCCAGCTCCATCACCAGCTCTCATTGCAAGACCATGAGCTAGTCTCAGAAAGACTGGGGGAAAGAAAAGAAACCACATAAAGTGCAATGGTAATTAATCATGTAATTAATTTCTTCTCATTCACAACTATGCCATATGGGAAAGTCCACCTCTACTCTGAGCCAAAGAAAAGCTAAGGCAGAGTGTAGGTAAAGCAGAAAGATTTATACACAACTTTTTTTCATTAACTTATTCAAGATCTGAGTGTCGCTCTGATAAAGCAGAAAATGGCTCTATGGTCAAGCATTTATGCCATGAATAGCAATCGGATCACTAGAGTTTGCAAGGACATCCCCAATAACACCATCAGGAGAATCCCAGTAGCTTACAAACTCATTCTTGGTACTAGCTCTTTGTTAAGCAGCTCCCATCCCGTGCATATCATACCAACAAAAGATAGTACCACTTAAAACCAAACGGTAGGAAATGTTTGTCTACTTTGCATTTGCAACGATAATTACTTGAAAACAATACAACAGAAAACCAAACAAAAATCTTCCATTAGTTAGGGCCTTACTATCTCTGGCCTCAATCTCATTTGCTGATACCGCCAAGCTTTTCATAAACCCCTTCTATCATTGTTAGCTATAATTTAAACAATAACTAGGCAGAAGAAAAAACACTTGTCAACCATGGCTCTCTAATCTAGTCTTTAAATCCACCTGCAAGATGCTGAACAATTTGTTTCCAGTGTCTATAACTATTAATGCAGTCAAGTATTTTACGCTACGTGGTAACATCACCAGGAGAGACTGAATGATGCAGCTGGAAATTAAGCTATGCTTTGATAAGGTCAGAAAAATCCACCCAAGCTTCTCCAAAGACAGAGGTCCCAAATGAGAGAGATGTGCCACACCCAACAGGCTATTAGTTAAACATAGGATATATTCTCCTATCACCATTTATTTTTGGAGTATTCTGGCTGTTTGACTTATTTCAACATGGTTATTATTTTTGGTTAACTCCACTCAAATGACTGAAGAGTTCAGATTGACCAAATTCATGAATTACTATTTAGACAAACAATGCAGGAACCTGCTGGATCATTTTATCTAGCCCTCTGCTGTTGCAGACAAGCACATCATTCAACCTCTCTCATTGGTGTATCAAGGGCCATTTTAGGATTACTCAGGCTGATTCTGGTTTAGCTAGCTTGGCAACTTTGGTATCAGCAAAAAAAAAAAAAAAGTTATGACAATATGGTTTCAGCATGATTTAAACTTCCACAAACCCAGGGTCCCAGAGACATGCAACTCAGATTGGGTCCCACAGTGCATTGCTAGCAGTAACCAAACCAGCTGCACCCAAGCGAGACCAGGTTTGCTGAACCAGATCGCATCATTCTCCCTGGATGCAATGCAGAAAATGCATTCCTTCCAGCCCCTCATCAATAAAATTAAATACTACTCCATAACAAATAGAAATTAGTATGCTTGTGTTTCTACAAGATACGTATTGGGAACAGGCATTGCCTTTTCAGTCTATGTGTGCGGATAGTGCCCGGTGTGCCTTGCCCTCTGTCCCTAGTTAGGTGACATAGGCACTACCTCCCTTCAAACAACAGGAATTGCAATAGTCTTGTTTAGCTAGGTATTTTCCTATCTTTAGCTAGGTGCAATTGCATCCTGTTGCATTATGCCTCATTGTGATCATCCATCCCAATTTGATATCTCTGTTGTGTGCCTACTCCTGCAGAGAAAATTTTGGATTTTACCCAACTGATGGAAAAATTGCCCATTTAGATTACCTGAATCTGATAACGTTTCTACTGAAAAGTTCCCACCTGGCTAGAAATATTGCTACAGCATTTTTCAGGCATTCGATACCTTTGCAAATGACCCACCAATATACTCCAGAAACAAAAACGCAAAACTTCTTCAAATCTTCCTGAACAAAAAATGAGCTCTTATTCCAAATTACACACATAAATAGAAGAGTGATTAAATTTGTCTTTGGGAAGCTGTCAAAAAAGGACAGTGTCAATGTACTTTTTTTCCCTTGGAAATGAAAATAGCTTATTTAATGGTACAGCAGAGAGATCTGTGAAATAACTATACAAATAATATAGAATTTGATGGCAAAGTTTTCTGCGTAGTGACTCAATATATTGATATTATGCATTCCACAGTATATGGATCATTATGACAAAATGTCATAGTATTATTTTCGGTTAATGATTCCTTAATTATCTCTCATACTCTATTGAAGCATTATATTTTATGCACGTAACATATAATACAAATGTATACATATTTTTCAATATACCTATGTATATTACATTATATATTATTGTATTATGTCATCATATATTGTACTACCTTTGAGTAAGAACAATTTCCCAAATCAGGATCTAATTCTGTGCTGCAACGTGAATGCTTGTCCATGGTTTGAAATTCAAGATTAATATTGGGTTTAAAACAACAGAAAAAAAGTGTTTTACAACAGTCCCTCTTCAAATGAAAATTCACATTCGCTCACAATATTGCTGACATGGTAATACATGGTTGATGATGAAAAATAACTGGCTGCTTCAATTCTTCATGCACAATAAGCAGTCCTGTCAACACAATAAAGTTCTGAGGCAATTAAAAGAGGACTTATTAAGATTGGTTATGAAATGCAACTACAGAATTAGCAAATAAAAGAACAAACAGTAATGGCAAATGAACATCACTAGAACATAGGTAATCTCACTAAGTTTTTTACCTTCAGTGATCAGTACTATTGTACTATGTAATATTTTTGTAATTAATTGCCCTTTTTGTTATTGCACATTTTTCATTTTATATAAATGGACTATTAGTCCAATTTCCCAATCTAGTCCATAGAAAACAATTGTATCGAGCATTGACACACTCAAGTATCTCTTCTTTAAAATTAACACATCTATGCTGTTTCACACATGCCATCTGGCTTCAGAATCAGAGAGAGATTAGAGAGATTTCAAAATAAACGACGTCTTATGTAGAAAAAGTTGTTTTAGAATCCTACCAGAGCAATCAAAGATGACCTGACTGGCCCAATGTAGGCCTGCATCTATGGATAAAATAGGAACAGACTCCCGAATGTCCCAGAGCTTCATCACGCCAGAGGAGTCACAGGAAGCAATCATATCACCCTGTCAATGTTGGAAACAAACTAAATGCATCACTTTTGTACTTCTGCAAAGAAGAAAGCATATGACACAGGGCTGGATACCCACTGATGCCAGACATAGTAACTGTATGCATTTAAATAAAAGTGAGTTATTATATGTGAGGTTATCACAGTCTCTTAACAGCTATGTTGACTTGAATAGCAACAATACAATATGACTTTTAAAGAGAACAGTTCAGGAGAAACTGCAAGTAGAAAAGAGAAAAGAGGTTATTTTGAATTCTGATACCAGTTTCTCCTAAGAAAATGGCTTGTGACTATACCTTTTCTTCTCACAGAGACACAGGAATGGCCCTTTAGTCCTGATTTTTAATTTGTCTACTCATGTTTTCTATGTGAAGCCTAAGATAAGAGCAGAACAGACACTCCTTCATTGCTGTACATTCATTAATAGCCATGCTACGGTCAATCTCACTCATTTCAGTGAGTCAGAAGCATTCAGGGACTATGTATGCAAGGAAAGACAGCAGGACTATGTCCTTCAGGCCTCTCTTCAATAGTAATTAAAAAAACCAAACCAAACCAAACCAAAACAAAACAAGCAAACCTAAAAAAGTGGCAGAAGTATTCTGAATATGTAGCAGATGAATAAATGCAAAAATCAAAGAAGGCAGCGTAAAGGATGCCCAAACATAACTTTGTTATCCCTGCTACCATAACAGCAAGAAACCCCTAGCTACCAATGCAGAAAGATTTACTTTTCATTTTAACCTCCTAAATAAAGATTCAAAATCCCCAAACCAGCTCAGCTGGTGTGCACTCAAAGTTATCAAAGTCAATGTCTTTTCCAATTTATGCAACAGTGCAAGATTAGATTAAAGGAAGTTGTTTTGAAGGAGAATCACAATGGTATGGAACTAAGAATCACGTAAAACATGGGTAAGATGTTGCATCCATGACTTTTTTATATGCAGTTAATTTCTACATCTTTCACGTAAATAATATCTGCAAGAAAATGTGTGGAGTTATCTAGCAAATAGAGGAATTAAGATCTGAAAATATCCATTGCCTTCTCAAGTAGAAAGTAATGGCCTGCAAAACACTATCATAGTATAAGTATAATGAAATCTTTAGGTTCATTTGGAAGAGATCTAAAATGTCAAAACTCCATTCTGGCTTGTTACAGGGACTAATACAGAGTAACACGAAGAAACAAAGCAATCATTGCTTTGAGAATTCAGCCAGCAATGTGTAAGCTCTGAGCACTCGCTGTTTTGCAAAAAAGCTCAGTAACTAACTACAACTGACCTCAACATAGTGATGCTGAGCATTACGGAAAAGCTATTTGTTTAACTATCTTGCCAGCTGTACCCACCTACCTCTCTTTAATTTCATTTGGCTCCTTTCATGAAGTTTAGCCTATACAAACTTCTTGGAGAAGAGAAGGCTGAGGGGAGATCTTATTATTACTTACAAATATCTAAAGGATGGGTTGAAGGAGGATGGAGCCAGACTCTTCTCAGTGGTTCCCCGTGACAGGATGAGGGGCAATGGGCACAAGTTGGAACATAGGAAGTTCCGTTCCAACACACGGAAAAACTTCTTTACTGTTAGGGTGACAGAGCACTGGCACAGGCTGCCCAGGGAGGTTGTGGAGTCTCTTTTCTGGAGATTTTCAAGACCCGCCTGGATGCAGTCCTGAGTAATGTGCTCTAGGCAATCCTGCTTTAGCGGGAGAGTTGGACTAGATCTCTAGAGGTCCCTTCCAACTCTGAAAATTCTGTGATTCTGTGTGATTCTGTGAAACGACAAGGTAAAGCAGCCTACTCAGGACAAAAAACACAAAAAAAACCCCAAATACAACATCTACACTCCAAATTGTTGCATGGCTTGAACGAGATCTCAATAAAGCAAATTTTTAATGGAAAAAAAAAAAAGCATCATCATGGATATAAGACTGAAAGAATCATCAATCCAGTCCCTTACTCTTATGTGCAATACTTTCATATGCTTGTCATGACATAAGTATTGAAGTCCACATTACCAGCAGTTTCCCCATCCGCCCCCTACGGCTGATCTAGAACCTGTCTGTCCTTGTATTTATAAATCTTTCAGTCCATAAGTATAAAAAAAGAGTTTAAAAATATTTGTACACATGCAATCTATGTCCTTTAGATTAAATACAAGTGTTTTTTTTTCTCAGAAATACTTCTCCCTTCTTCCCTGTCCCTGATGCAGTTCACTTACAGAATCATTCGCATCCCCCCTCCAACACCATTTTCTGGGCTAAACAGTTGAAGCTCTTCCTTCTTTCCTCCCCACTCTTTTCAGACAGCATGGAGTCTGGATTAGCTATGAATGTAGCCATCACTGATTTTTATAAAGTAACTCTTGCAAAACTGATCACCAGTTTTGGAAGCCCCTTCTGAGATCCCTGTAACCTGACTTTCAGAGAGGTTAAAGATGTGTATCTTGGATGAGCAGAGGTTTTGGTGAAGCTGGCACACAGCAGCAACTATGAAGTGGGAGGGTAGGACACATGATCAAGTGGTACATCTCCTTTCCTTAGGTCATTACCTATCACGCCAGTAAAGGGAAGAGGAACTGGGTGGGTGCATGTAGAAAAATCCCTCCATTCCTCAATGTAAATACTCAGCTTCTGGACCAGCTCTCCATACCTCACCGTCCCCTCTGTTTTCACTTTCTTCTGCAAAGATTGTGTCCATTACTATCAACAGTCTACTAAGGAAATCACTAGTATCCCTTATACCTGTTATTTCATAACCTCTAATATGACTTTGACATATACTTGCATTTTACTTCTGGTTTGTTTTTTTTTTTCTATCCATAGAGGCATTTTAATAAATAAGACCTTTTGGGGGGTGGGGGGTGGTTTTGTTTTGTTTTGTTTTAGAATATGCCTGTTTTCAAACTTGTTTTGTATGTGTTCAATATACTTCAATTCAATAACTAATCCTTAATTACAGCTTTGGTAACTCAGCAATTTTAAACTAGATCAATGGACAGCCCATGTGGGTAAGGCTGCACATAACCCCACTCAATGTAGTTACAGAAGACACTCCAGTGTGTGCTCTGTGACTCCTCCTTATGTCATCAACAGTTGCGTCCATGGATTTTCAATACAACATTTGTCTCTTAAGTAACAGCATGGTTCAGCTAATAGATCATAATAGCACCAAGAATGCTTCACTGAAATAGATATTACACAAACATTGATCAGAGGCAGTTCCTGCCGCAAAGTGAATGTAACTCTAGAGCTGGCTTTGACCTTCCCACTGGCCCTGATTAAGAGATCGTTCCTAGTTGTATAATTCTGAGGAAAACAATCTGATCTACTTTTATTACAGGTTCTTTCTTCTATCAATTAATTTTGCTACAGTAGCTGGCACACCACAAGACAAGATCTGTACCCCATCCTCTTTCAATCTTGCCATCCTATTCTCTGCCATATTATTTTCTCCCATTTCTAGTACAGATCCCTAAGAAACACAAGTGTAAAAAAACCTCCCCTCCAGCAAGAATTCACACAATCAAATCATTAGTAGGTACCAGATACACTGAACCACCCTAACTTGTTATTTAAGTTCTCTTTCACAAGGTGATTTGTGGCCACATCAGAAAGGATGAGCTCCCCTGATCCTTGCGGACACTAGTTGAACAGAAGCAGTGCTGGAGAAACCTGGTCTGGGACTACCACCCCACTGTGCTAGCTGCTGTGTAGACAAGCTAGAGAAGATGGTCCTGCTCCAAAGGGTTTACAATCTATCTTAGTAGCAAGATCAACCAGTTCTTGCTGTCAAAAGTCTGCAGACTTTTTAACAATTTCCTCCCAGATGCCTGGTATAAACATCCTGTGCATAAAATGCAACATCCTGTAGCATATGTCGCCTGATTTCAGAGAAAAGGCAGTAGACCTCATCTGCAAACAGAAGTAAGAAAACACAGCATTCTGATGGTAACACGTCAACGCACGCAAACAGGTATTTTATCAGCCCATTATTAAATGCATCAATTATTACTGATACCTAGGCAGCTGCTACACTTTAAAACACAGCAAAAGGATTTTGTTAATGAGCAGGCTATTACATTTCACCACTTCTTCGCTTGATGTCATCTCTATTACACACCTTTTCTAAATCAAGTGAGTTGGAGATGTGGGATAACAACTTTTCAATAGAAAGAAATAAACCAGGAATGTAATCAAGCTTAAGGATAATTAGAAGCTACATGCCATTCAAAGAAAAAGAAAGGGGTAAGTCATATGTTAAACGAACTCATTTGCATCTGGCCACAGGCCATTTTCAAAAGCTTTAAAGTGGAATCACTGTGAGTTCTCCTATGAGCTTCTGGCTTTTTCACTTCTTTTACAGTTACTATTTTAGTTATCCATGGAAAAGCCCTCTGCCTTGCTCTGCTCCTTGCTCGTTTCCTTTTTTTTGTTTGTTTCTTGCCACGCTGAAGTCTTTTTTATGATGTCTTTTTGATGACATATTTTACTGAACAGCAAGCTGGACAATCAGGGCTTGACTGATTTTCCTACATGTAAAAGGAGGGAACAATGAGATCCAAGGAGAAAATGTGCAAAAGCAGATTCCCATTGTACCGATTTTCATTTACACTACATTTTATGCTGCAGCAGCCACAGCTCGGTTCTATTACTTCCTCTAATCAAAGAGCATGTAGAACGATTCATAAACCTGGTAAGACTTGCTTCCGATTCTGTATAATCAAGTTGGTACTTTTTTGTGTGTGCATGCTGAAGTAATTAAAGAATTTATACAAGGATTCAATTAGTCTGGATTCAAAGACTGGTTCTGTTCCAGGCTCCACTTAAAGGACTTTGCAGGTCCTTTAATTGCCTTTACAGTTACACCCTCCACTCTTTACCATCCCTGCCGACTTAATGAACATCTTTATATTACGGAAGATCTCCCATTAAAATGGGTAAGTTCAGCTCCATATACATCACAATCCCAATCTCAATTTGTTCTTGCAAACCAT